CAGCGGCCCATAGCCCTTGCCCCCCGGCCGCCCACCAGGGCCCTGCCGACCTGGGCTCCTGCCGCCGCGAGGCGCCGAGAGACGTGGCGCATCGCCTGCTCAGCACCCCGCCTTTTTACCTGTCTTATGTCGGGCCTGTCCCCCTACAGGGGGATTTTCTACGAAAAAATACCCCAACTATACACCAAAAAGGTCAAAACATGTTTTAAAGATAAAACGTACGATGTTTGGACTATTGTTTGATTCGTTTGGGGGTATTGTTTTATTTTTCGTCGAAAATCCCCTTGTAGGGGGACACGCCAGACTTAACCTTAGTCGTTTGGCGCCGGGGGGGGGGGGTTGCTTCAACGTCCCCCGTTCTCCAAGGTGGGCACCACCGCTGAGCGTGCACCACCGCTGAGCGTGCAGTGGCGGCCTTGGCTGCAGCAGTAGCCGGCTGTCGGCGGGACTCCCGTTTGCTTGTCCGATCTCGTTCTCTGTTTCTCACTCTCTCTTCGGCATCCCCCCAACATACTTATACTATGTGTTCGTCGCCCCCCCAGGGGCGACGCGCGCACCGAGAAATCTTGTAGTATATGCGTCGTGGCGGGCGCTTTCTGGCCACACCGCTCGAGAAACGATATACTACAAGATGGGTATACTATATGTTCGGGTCGGACGCGCGCCTCCAAGGCGGACATATAGTATTAGTATGTCTCTGTGCGTCCCATCTCTCTCTCTCGCACCGCTGCGCAGCGATCCCTTTCCGCACCACCGCCCCGCCGCGCCGCGGGCGCGCCGCGGGCGGGAGGCGGCGCGAGCCCTCCGGACCTCCGATGGGGCCAAGTTTCCGCGAAGAGGAGGGGGAGGAGAGGAAGAACACAACCTCCTACGTCCTGAAGCTCGTCCTCCTCCTCCTCCTCCTCCTCCTCCTCCTCCTCCTGCTCCTCCTCCCTCCTCCTCCCTCCTCCTCCCTCCTCCTCCCTCCTCCTGACTCCTCCTCCTCCGGACTGGGGGGTATGGGCTTAGCGGCGGGACCTCGATATCGGCAAACATGTGCCTACCGATGGCGTAGCATCATGCCTGCAGCGTTCTACACGGCCCGTGGCACGGTGGGCGCATCGTGGCAGCACTCATGATACCCAACACACCATATTTGTAGCGCCGTGTGCGCATTGACGTAGCAGCCTCCGAGAATCCAAGTGGAACAGCCATACAGCACAGCTTGCATGCACCCGAGAATGCGAACCGCCCGTCCCGACGCTGATTGGCTCCTGCACCGGCTTCGCGCCCACCGCCTGCGCCCGCGGACGAAGCAAATTACCGAGGCAATCCAATTCTAGCTCAGCGCTCGTCACAGGGGCTGCCGTGGCCCCTCTGGCGCTTCGTATCGCCCTCGGTGTAGTCGATAGACGCGGGCTTGGTGTGTGGCGCCGCCGGGGGCGGTACTCCATTCTTCTTGTAGCAGTCGTCCGTGATTGGGGCCCCTGGCGGGTCGAGCATCTCGAAGTAATCCTTCGAGCCGCCAATGATTGCCGGCTGGGGGTGAAGCTTCTGCCCGGTCGGGAGCTCTCCGGTCCCGTGTTTCAGGCAGCATACTTTGAAGTGAGTGTGCTCATCTGCAGAGTGGTCGGTGCACGCGCCTGGGAGGTACATCTTCTCAACGCATGCTTTCTTGAGCTGGGCGATCGTAGGCGTCATCGCAGTATCCGGAATACTGCTAAGCTCCTTTCGCTGGGTCAAAAGCTAGGTAGTGCGGACCTGACAGCCGTAGGCCAGGGGTGGGTCTCTACGATCATGTAGTTGCGAGCAACCATCCAGTAGTTGTCGCGCAGCGATGCCGGTGGTCCTTGTCCGCCATGGGGGTCTCGAGCCTGTCGTCGATGTTGGCGTTGGTCGCGCCCTCAACGCATTTGTCCTTGCAGATGTCGATGCGATTGTCGTGAATATTTCTGTAGCCGTAGCTACTTGAGGGAGACTTTGACTTCGGCGATATCGAAGTACAGCTGATCGTCTTCTCGCTTCGCAGTTAAAAGCTTATACAACAACATTCATGGGCATGCTACACCGACATACATTCTGGTGGTGGGTGAGGCCACCAGAGGCTGAAACTTGTGCACGAATGCTGGAAACATTGCGAGTTCAATCGGACCTCTTTGGGAGAGAGGGTACGGAGACGGCGGGCGATGGCGGGCGGATGCGGACAGGGAGGCGCCATACGGACTTGTGATGATTCGTGAGCTCGTCGGACATCCTCTGGCTCTCTTGGAGCTCTCTTGGGACGTGACGACTTGATGCATTGACGCTTCTGGCCATCGTCATTGCACAAATCCGCTGGCCCCCTTGCAGGGCCACCAGGCTGTAGGCCGGAGGTTCGCAGCTTCCTGTACCAATTGCAGTTTCCAGTTTCCACTGTTACAGTTCTGTTTCTTGCTGCTTACTGTTCCTTGTTGACTTCTTGCTGCTTACTGTTCCTTGTTGATGGGCCGCGCGAGGGGGGAGGCCCAAAACGGGCATTTTTACCACGCCCAAATCGTATTGTCTGAATTGCTGGGGTGAATAAGAATTAACACCCCTCTCACGCAGATCGGCGGGGTCAGGGTCCAAAAACACATGGGATTTGCCACATGTCTCAAATTCGGTTGCACCCCTCACGCAGATCGGCGGGGTCAGGGTCCAAAAACACAAGGGATTTGCCAAACTTTTAAAATTCGGTGGCACCCCTCATGCAGATCGGCGGGGTCAGGGTCGAAAAAACACAAAGGATTTACAATTTGTTTGAAATTCGGTGGCACCCCTCACGCAGATCGGCGGGGTCAGGGTCGAAAACACATGGGATTCGCAACTTTTCTGAAATTCGGTGGCACCCCTCACGCAGATCGGCGGGGTCAGGGTCGGAAAAACAAGGAATTTGCAACTTTTCTGAAACTTCCTGCCACCCCTCACACAGATCGGCGGGGTCAGGGCTCAAAAACACATAGGATTTGCCACATGTTTCAAATTCGGTAGCACCCCTCATGCAGATCGGCGGGGTCAGGGACCAAAAGCATTAAGGATTTGCCACGTCTTTGAAATCCGGAGGCACCCCTCACGCAGATCGGCAGGGTCAGGGTCCAAAAACTCATGGGATTTGCCTCATTTCTGAAATTCGGCGGCACCCCTCACGCAGATCGGCAGGGTCAGGGTCCAAAAACATAAGGAATTTGCAACATTTCTGAAATTCAGTGGCACCCCTCACGCAGATCGGCAGGGTCAGGGTCCAAAAACACAAGAGTTTTGCCACAGTTATGAAATTTGGCGGCACCCCTTACGCAGATCCGTAGGGTCAGGGTCGAAAAACAAACAGGTCCCGACACTGCTTCACGGCGAAGCCAAAGCCTCATGACCTCGCTCTTCCATGACCCCTTCTCCGAGAGAGGGGGCCGGCGGCAGGGGGCGAAGCCCTTACGGATAAGTTGTACAAATGTGTTGATGTAGTCCAAGCGACAGGCGCTAGCGCGTGGTAGCACGACCGCAGCATAAAATCCATAGGCATCATTTTGTACGCGCGTGTGCTCGAGGGAAGCATGCTGGGCACGGAGGATGTGGTAGAGGCTGGCCTCCTCTGGCTCCTCCTCATTCCTCCTCCTCCTCCTCCCTCCTCCTCCTCCCTCCTTCTCCTTCTCCTCCTCCTCCTCCTCCTCCTCCTCCTCCTCCTCCTCCTCCTCATCCTCATCATCATCATCATCATCATCATCATCATCATCATCATCATCATCATCATCATCATCATCATCATCATCATCATCATCCCCATCACCCCGTGGACATTGTCCCATCGGCGGAGCAAGCACTACCCAAGGGAATCCGCAACCAACTGCTCGTACGAAGCACGCCACAGCAGCATGCAGGTGGCGGCATGAGCAAAGGCTGACGGATGCGGCAACTTCTGGACTCTGGGACACACTCGCAACTCTCTGCTCGCTGTTCTATGCTCGATGCCCTACAGTGTCTCTGGTAGCATCTGCTCTCTACCCACTAACTAACCTTCACACAAGCCTTCCTGAACCCTCCACTCTCCACGCTCTTTGTACTATCGATCATTATTCTGCTCTCTGCTCATTGCGATCTGCTGAGAACATCACACTCTCCTACCTCCTTACCATGTGTTACATGCCCCGTTCGTACTCCTGAGGCTCTGAGAGACTCGCCAAACACGGAAGCCACAACACAACCGAATTCACAACTGAACCAGGGCACCGGGAACCCGAGAACCCAGCCGCCTACGGCGGCGAATTTTTGTCAAATCCCTCGGATGTCCGCGAGAACCCAGGAACCTGGAACCCGGAGACCAGGGGAACCTCAAAACACCGACCGCCTGCGAAATGAATCGGAGGCCCATTTTCACCAAATCCTGCCAGGACCCCGTCAGAGCAAGCACTGAGTGGGGAGCTACCACCGCCGCTACGACCTTTCCTCCCACTTCCGCTGCCAAGACCGCCACTACGATTTGGCCAGCGCTCAGGCCGGAGCACCATTCCGAATCTATGATGTGGCCGTGGCTGGGGAGAGAGCACCGTATCAAATCCAAACATGCTGCTCGCGCTGTGGCGGGAGGATCATTCTGGGACAAGCGTGTGGCCGGATCGCGGCTGTCACGCTGATCTCGCGTGAGCCGGGCCCAGGGTCACCAGGGTCCGGGGAAAGTTCGGTTGGTAGGCCAAGTTTGGGAGGGGTGTAACCAGCGACGGCGGGCGGCTGGTGGGCGGGAGCCGCGATGGAGGCGGAAGGGCCGAGGTTGAAGAAGTGAAGGGGGCGACAGAAAACGCAGAATGGGGGGCAGGGGGAGTTCGGCGGGACCAGCACGGGAGGAAGGCTCAGAGGAGGACCCAGAGGAGGACTCAGAGGCCTCTCTACTTCACCAACACACCCGCCCTCAATCCGTGAATCTCGTGCAATTGGTTAGAACGAACGTACGCCGCGCTAGGGCGAGAGCCACGTTTTGAAAACGGCCCACCCTCAATCCGTGAAGCTCTTGCACATTTCTCCCCCGTCGGCACCGCCCTCCCCTCTCGCAGTGCCTCCTGCTCCGGAGGCGTGCGGCCTCCCGTGGCGGCCCACGGGCCGCCCACACTTTTCGCAGGGGGGCAGGGCCTGGAAGCGCTCTCGCGCCCCCGCGGCGTCAGAGCGTCCCGGGGGCGCCCGCGAAGGCGTCGGCCACGGTGTCCTCGCTCGACGCGCGGCTCAGCAGCATCCGCCCCGGCAGGACCGCGTCCACCCGTGCAAAGCCGGAGCCGAAGCTGCCCGATCGGTGGTCCGCTGTCAGCCGGGCGCGCACGTCTGCTAGGCGAGAGGTCGGCGCCACCCTGATTCTGCAGCGCTCCACCCCGCCGAAGGTCACGAAGCACATCGAGTCGCCCACGAGCGTCCCCTGCAGGAACAGCTGCGGCATCAGGCTCGCTTCATATCTGAAGCCCTCCGCCAACACCGGGAGGTCGCACTGGCCCCAGTTATTACGGCCGCAGGCCACAGCGGCTCCGTCGCTCCTGATCAGAACTGTGTGGGCCCATCCTGCCGCAACCTGCGTGTAAGTCAGCCCGTCAGGCAGCGCTGGAAGGTCGCACTGGCCGAAAGGATTGTAGCCACAGACCACCGCCGAGCCGTCGCTCCTGAGCAGAACTGTGTGGTCCCCTCCAGCTGCAACCTTCGTGTAGGTCAGCCCTCCAACCAGCTCGGGGAGGTCGCACTGGCCCTCGCCTTCGGAGCCGCAAGCCACGGCCGAACCATCGCTCCTGAGCAGAACTGTGTGGTGCCCTCCCGCTGCTGCCTGCGTGTAGGTCTGGCCTGCCGCCAGTGCGGGAACCTCGCACTGGCCCGCACCGCTGTGGCCGCAAGCTACCGCCATGCCGTCGCTCCTCAGCAGAACCGTGTGGGTCCGTCCCGCCGCAACCTGCGTGTAGGCCGTCCCTCCAGCCGGCGCAGGGAGGTCGCACTGGCCGAAGGCGTTGCCGCCGCAGGCCGTGGCGGATCCGTCGCTTCTGAGCAGCACCGTGTGGGCCAATCCAGCAGCGACCTGCGTGTTGGTTAGCCCTCTGGCGAGCGCGGGGATGTCGCACTGGCCCCGGTCGTTGTGGCCGCAGGCCACTACCTCGCCATCGCTGCGGAGCAGGACCGTGTGGTGCCCTCCCGCGGCAACCTGCGTGTAGATCTAGAAGAACAGACAAGGACACAGGCATACCTTGTCGTAGGCCCGCGCGAATTTCGTGGGTGTGCGCCGCCAGGGGGGGTCCAGCGCCGACCCAAGAAGTCCGCGCGAACCTCCGAACATGTATGCTTACGCCGTTTCCCTTCTTCGAAGCTCAGCTCCCCGGCGAGCGCCGGGATATCGCACTGCCCGAACGAGTTGAAGCCGCAGGCCACGACGGCGCCGTCGCTCCTGAGGAGGAGGGGGAGAGGGCCAGGAGGAGGAGGAGGAGGAGGAAGAAGAGGAGGAGGAGGAGGCGGAGGAGGCGGAGGGTGAGGAAAAGGAGGAGGAGGAGGAGAAGGAGGAGGAGGAGGAGGAGGAGGAGAGGAGGAGGAGGAAGCGGAGGAGGAGGAGGAGGATGAGGTGGATGAGGAGGAGGCGAAGGGAAAGAAGAGGATGCGGGTTGTCCTCAAGAGAGTCCCAGATCCTGACCTCGCAGCACGGCGTGATTGAAAGACTGAGGTGCCTCCAGAGGGAAGGTCAACGGCCTTCCGCGCGGCCTTAGCGATCGAACGAGCGACCGATGGGGGAACGACCCGCTGATGGCCGCACGCCTCTCTGGTGGAGACGAACGGGAAGAAGAGAATGCGGGTACTGCTCAAGAAATTCCCAGATCCTGACCTCGCAGCACGGCGTGATTGAAGGACTGAGGTGCCACCAGAGGGAGGGTCAACGGCCTGCCGCGCGGCCTTGGCGATCGAACGAGCGACCGAGGGGGGGAACGACCCGCTGATGGCCGCGCGCCTCTCCTGGTGGAGAAGGCGATGCAGTGAAGCCTCAGCGCCACTCCCCGTGCCGAGCGACGGATCGACGAGGGCGAGGGCGACGAGGGGAGCGCCAGGGCCGGGGGCGGCCCAGGGCCAGCCGCATCAGCTCTCGAGGTGGCGTGCATCTGGCACAATGCTTCCGGCTGCCGGGCGGATCACATCCCGAGCAGCACCGTCGGTCCCGATCCCGGAGACGGGTATCTGCAGCCCAGCCCCCGAGCCACGTCTTGACGCACGCACAGCGCCAAGTCGCTCCAGCTTGTCGCCGAAGCTGAAGTTATCGGCGACGAGCGCGGCGTTCGCCACGGGGTCCCGCTTCGCCTCCAGCAAGTCCGTCGCAAGCGCCGTCTGGACACGGCGCTGGATATCGCGATCCAGCCTGTGGTTGTGTATGCTCCAATGAATTTGCATGCGCGGGCTCCCCGTGTCATCACTCAACCGAGCAAGAATACGCATAACCCTGTCAGGTACCAGTATTGTGATGCCCCATTGCACACCATCTCCATCATCTGCCCTACGCATAAGGAAGAGTGTGGCGAGCCCCCCCGAATCCTCTGGTTCACCCCCACAGAACGACGTGAAGACTCGGGCTCGGATGCCCGCGTGCTTCAGCAGCTCCATCAGACGGATCTCTGACCCATGCACCTCCTGAAGGCCCAGGATGATCGAGCCGCGTTTCCAAAACTTGGCAAGGAAGGTTCCCCAAGCTTGCCTTGTCAGCACGGTTGTGGCACGGCGCCCGTGCATTTCACGGTGCCGGTGAGCGCCAACTTCGCGGCCCCGCCAACGGCCCGAACGTGTTCTTCTCCTGGTACTGCAGCATCCTCATCGCGTCGGCGGCGCCCCCATCGTGCAGCGGCCTTGTCAAAGACACCACTCCGCCAACGACGGGGCCAGGACTGGCCCCGCCAGCCGCTCAAGGCGTTCGCGAGGGAGCTGATGACGGCGGAGGACAGCGGCATTTCATTGTGAAGCGGGCGAATCACCAAGTCCCCCGATCGCAATCTTGACCAGCGGGTGCCGCGCCAAGGACAGGGTGCCCACCGGCTGATCGGGGCTAAAGGGGTCGACATAGATGCGCCCCGAGAGGCCCTCCTCAAGCGCGCGCCGCATCTTCTTGAGCGTGCTATCGCAGGACACTTGGCGGGAGTTTTTGTCCTTGCTGAGGGACAGCGGCGCGTCGTGGCCTGCCTGGGTCGAGGCCGAGACCTCGCGCCAGGTGCCGCCAGGGCCGCCGCCGCGGAAAGAGGCCTCGAGCTTGCGGACACGTCGTTCAGCACGACCCACGTCACCCGCCAGTGTGACCACGAAGCGACGGCCCAGGTCCCCACCTTCCACTCGAGCGACATCGGCCAGCTGCGCATCAGCCAGCACAGGGGCCATGGCCTGCTCCACCGCCGCGCGCAGGAGCGGGCGCAAGACTTGGAGATGTCGACCAGCACCGCACGGTCGATCCCGCGGCTGCAGGCTGGTCGAGTCTCGGGCGTCTGCGGGGCGCCCGCCGCCACCGCGCCGAACCCGCGCCGAAGCTGCGACACGTCGGCAGAGTGGCAGAGTGCCTCGCCAGCGTATCGTCGGTCTCCTGCTGCCGCCGCCGAATCTCGTCCTCCGGGCGCTTGACGTCCTCGGTGTTGCTGCTGGACGCTCTCGGCCTCCTCCTGGCGGCTCTCTAGGAGCGCCGTGCGACGCTCCCGCGCGCGCCGGATGCCCCCCAGGCTCTCGTCGACCTCGCGGGAGAGGCGGCCCTGGCCGGAGCGCGCCTCCTCAGAGAGCGACTTCCGGAGGTCCACGGTGACGGCCGCGGACTCGACTGGCACATCCTCACATTCGTCGCCGTCGTCCTCCGCGTGCCTCTTCGGCACGGGCGTGGCGAGGCCTCCGCAGGGCGTGCCTGGTGCAGATCTCGGAGCCCCAGGCCTCGCAGGAGCAGCGCCCAGACCCGCCGCCGCGGCAGCCCACGGGCCACGAGCCGCGGCGGAGGGCTGCGACGGCAGCGCGGGACGGGCGGCGTCCACCGCCACGAGGGCCTCCTGCTGCGGCTGCTGGGCCGCCGCCAGCGCTGCACGCTTGGCCGCCTCGCGATCCTCCTCCCGGGCTCTGGCGCGGCCGCGGGACTGGCGTTCGCGGCGCTTGCGGCGGCGCCGCCCAGCACTCCTCGACTGGTCGCGGGGGGGCGGGGAGGAGCCGCGCTCGCCAGGTCCCGAGGAGAGGCGGCGACGGGCACCGCCACTGCCAGCAGCAGCGCCACCCGCCACGTCCACGGCCGCTTCGACCCGAGTGGGCCCCATCTGAGCACAGGCCCGCGCAGGAACTGGAAGTGCCTCAGTTTACCCGCGCGGGCCTGTGCTGGTGCAGGGGACGAGTCGATGCTCCAGCAGGGGCTCACCGAATCCGCCTGCTCTGGCTTTGAACTAGAGGTATCCGTCCTCTGCCAGAAGGACAGAGGCATCTGGAGCTAAAATGTCTACGGGCGTAAAGAGGAGGAGGAGGAGGAGGAGGAGGAGGAGGAGGAGGAGGAGGAGGAGGAGGAGAAGGAGGAGGAGGAGGAGGAGGAGGTGGACGACGACGACGACGACGACGAGGAGGACGACGAGGACGACGAGTCGAAACCGCAGGGCCCGACGGCGTCGTCGTTCCTGAGGAGAGGGGGGATGAGGAGGAAGGGGAGAAAGAGGAGCACGACGAGGAGGACGACGAGTCAAAGCCGCACGCCATCACGGTTCCGCCAGTGGGGAACGACGACGACGACAACGACGACGACCACGACCACGACGACGACCACGACGACGACGACGACGACGATGACGACTGGTCGAAGCCGCAGGCCACGACTGCGACGTCGATCCTGAGAAGGGCCGTGTGTCCGCCCAGGAACTTCCCGCCAGCGGCAGCCATCCACGGGCGCGCGCGCGCGCGGGCAGCCACTGCCCGCAGGAGGAGGAGGAGGAGGAGGAGGAGGAGGAGGAGGACGAGGACGAGGACGAGGGGAAGGAGGAGGGAGGGCTGCGTCTGTGCGGCTCTCCAGCCGCAGGGAACGAGGAACGGGGAGCAGGAGGAGGACGAGGAGAACCAGAAAAAACCTAAGGTCATCAGCGATGCTGCAATATACCCTGCCGTCCCGAGGGCCCTTTTCGTCAGTCCCAGCACGTGCTCTTTCTCGTTGCGAGAAAAGCGCCCCCCCCCCCCCCCTGGAACGGGGAGCGCCCCATACGACCACAACCCAAGCGGGAGCTCCGTGATGAAAGAAATCACCCTACATTCTCCGTTTTGCAAGGCTGCGACAACGCGGGGGCTTAAAGTGTAAAGAAGTGTTCAGCGACAGCTCCGCTTCGAGAAGGGCCCCCCCTCCTTCCGTGCAGCCCGTGCGCAGCTGTCAGCTGTGGTCAGCGCGGCGGGCACAGCGAAGTCTGAGGCGATGGCCTCCTTTTGAAAACGAAACGCCCTCCGTCCGTGCAAAATGATTCACAAAGCTGCGCTCGTGGTGACACCGATCGAGGAAGTCTCAGGCGAACGCCTCCTTCTGAAAACGAGCTGGCGTCCACTCGTGCGACCGTTGACGACATCTCGGGGGAAAGCCCCCTGCTGGAGACGTTGTGGCCTCCGTCCGTGCACCTGCTGCCAGCCAGTGAAACGAGAATGTGTGCGGCACTCGGGCGGGAACCTTGTTCTGGAAAAGGCCAGGCCCCTTCCTCTGTGTCGGTTGCTGCAGACTGTTTTGTGACGAATGTGGGAAGGATGATGCGAATCCGTCCTGTGGGTCGCGAGAGGAGTCGAGCTCGAGAGGATCAGAGGATGATGCTCTTCTTGCCTCCTGCTGATAGCGGTTGAGGGCACCCGTGCGTCCGCGCGGAGGGGGGCCTATCGAACCATAACAGTGGCTACGGCAACAGACGGGTCCGCAAGGGCTCAGGCTTCGGAGGGGTCTCTAGAGGGGCCCTCAGGGGTCCGTGTTCGCATTCGTCTACTCTCTTTTTCTGGCTCCTCACTTCCTGACCTTCACACTGTCACCCATCTGCCAGTCGCCTGTGCCATCGTCGTCTTCACCGACTGCCTGTGCTCGCCTTGGGGTGGTCTCCTCCTCCCCATCGGGCACGTACATCTGCAACGTCTTGAGGATCCTGTCCCTCATCACCGGGTACTCGGAAAGAGACCACCCGACGTTCTCGAGGATGGTGTCCATCGCCTCTGAGTATCCCTCGTCGTCCGGGAGCGTGATCTTCTCGTCGCCGTCCTGCTCGATCTCCTTCTTGCTCGCCTTCACCGTGTTGTTGCGGAAGAACTCCGTGGCCGGCGACTTGATCTCCAACTTCGGCTTCTGGTCGAGCGGTGCTCTTTGCCATGAAGCGTACGCCCTCTCCAGCATCTTGCACTTGTCCCGAATCTCGTCCTCCAGTGCCACTCCCGTCATCACCTGGATGTTCCCGGTGTTGGCCACGTACTGCAGCGTCACTGGCGCGTTGCCCTTCTTCGCCTGCACGGCGCCCAGGAGCGTCTTGGCTGGCACCCTCACCTTGACCCTGGCCTCCGACTCCACGTAGGACGACACGTCCGGGTAGACGTCCACCAGCCCGAGCAGAAATGCCCTGGCCTGCTCGTCGCTGCCCGTCGCCTCGAACTTCACCATGGCCCAGGCCTGGAGGCTGGCCTAGGGCACTTGCCCGGCTCGCACGAGCCGCCTTCTCACTTTGAGCCTTAGCCAAGGTTACGGACTCGTCGGCTAGCTGGTACGCTCCTGCTCTCATACACGCTCGTAGTACATCTGCTGCTTCTGCTTTGTCTTTTGTCAACGCATCTCCTAACATGAGCTCCGTCGGGCCCCGGCGAAGAGTACCACCAAACCTTCGGAGGCTCCCTTTTGCGATCGCTATGTCTATGGAGGCCTTCTTGTCATCGAGTCCTGTGGGGGCCCCAGGTTTCGTCACGCGGTCGAACACCGACTTGCAATCGATAACGCTGATCGCCGAGAACTTCCTGGAATACCGATCCCGATTTTCTAGGCAGAACGTGGGGTACAGGGTGGCCGCGAACGAGCACATGATCCACTCCAGGTGGCCCAAAGACGCCTTCAGAAGCTTGCTCTCTCCTGCCAGTGTCGACGTACACCCTTGTTTGATCTTTTGGGACTTCCAGACCAGAGGGCGCCAGGGGGCCAAGAGACCTTTTGCCATGGAGGGGTCCGTCGCACCTATGATGTACCCGCCCTGTGTCCTCCCCGTCCCGTCCAGGTCCTTCGAGGAGTAGTCCGAGTGGCAAACGAAACGCAAACGTTCTGGAACAATACTCTGGACAGTCACCGAGATCTCGTGAAACTGCTTCGCCCTCCTGACCCAAGCATTCGAGCGTCTGATCTGGCCGACCGTCGGGTGAGGCATGATCTGCTGGGAGAAGGAAATCTGGCAACTCAGATCTGGCCTCGTCTGTCCTGCCAGCCAGTTCCCTTGCTGCGTAGTTGAAATGTGGTTGTGCACTTCCGACGGTAGAGCTACATCATCGGGCCGAGCTGATTTCCTCGTCTTCGCGAGGGTGATCCCCTTCGTGTATTCTGACTGCGACTGGACGATCGAGTAGTCAGCTCGCTGGGTGAGGACCGATCCTGTGAACTCCCCACTCCCTGTCACCCACTTTCTGAATGGAAACCTCGCTCGCAGCTTTTTCATCGCAGTGGCCCACAGCTGACCGCGGCCACCATTGATCTGATCGTCCACATGCACTCCAAGGATGCCGCACAGCGCGCCAGGCTCACCACGCAGCTGGGCGCTCTCAGAACCAGTGGCGTACGGTATCACCGACACCCTGTCCTTGGCGACCAGGCCGGCGTTCTCCTGGGTCACGGGCTCCCTCAGCAGGAACACGCACGGGTCCATGGGGTGCTGGTCGAACTTCAGCTCCTCCAACATGTACCGCTCGAACGTGCGCCACCACTGCTGAGGTTGGTCTCCCAGTCCGTATCCGTTGACCACCTCGAAGAGCTGCTCCGGGTGATAGCCCTTCAGCGTGTAGTCCTTCGGCATCGTCACGTAGATCGGGCCATTCGGCCTGGCCTCCGGCTCTGCCACGAGGAAAGCTGACTTCACGTCGCCGATGGTCAGGTCGAACTTGCAGGACGCCAACGTCTGCAAGAGCATCGCCCTCCCGTTGGTGGACATGGTAGGGCTCGCCGTCCGTCCTTCACGCACCAGGTCCAGGATGTCCGGGTCCTTGAAGCCCTGCAGCGTGCACCGGCACTTGACCTCCTCCTCGCCGTCGTCGCCCGTCCGCAACGTCAGCACCGGCCTCGGACGTAAGATCCGATCTGGCACCTGGGTCTTCAGCAGCCGCGACTTCTCCAATTCCACTGGCTTCCATGCCTTGGTCTCGTGCACCAAGCTCGTCATTTCCTTGGTGTACGCCTTCTCGATCATCGCGAGGCCCTCGGGTGATTTCCACTTGTCCTCCTTGGTGTTGATCTCCTTACTGCCCTGCGTGAGCAGAACGTCCACCTCGTTCACGATGACGTCTTCATCCACATCTCTCGCCAGGTGTGCATTCGCCGAGTCCCTGAGCGGTGGGCTCGGCAGACTCGGAGGATACGTCACACCTCCGAACTGCTGCTGGCTGCTGGACGGGTCGTCGATGGTCGTCTGCTCCTCCAGCCGTGGACGCTTGGCCTCATCCTGCTCCTCGCGGTTCTCATCCATCTGGCCCTCCATCGGCTGGTAGGCTTCGCTCACCGTCCGCTTGTCCATGGTCTGCTTGCCACGCACGCGTCTCCCTCCTGTGGGATGCTCCGGGGGTTTGTCTTCTCCGTCAGCTGGCTGATCATCAGGTTCTCGCTCTCCCGGCTCTGGTACGACAGGTGGTGGTGCTGGAACTTCTGGACCTGGAGGAACCTGTTCTGCCTCTCCCTCCGGGGGTCGTTCGCCTCCGGTGATGTCCTCGAACCTCTGGCCGCTGTAGTGCTCCAGGTTCACCATCTTGGTCCGCAGCTCTGCCTCCACCATGCGCCACGCGTGTCGTTCCTCTCGCACTGCTGGCCTCATCTGCTCCGGCGACGCCTTGACCACCGCGCCCGGCAGTGCCACCCAGTAGTTGCCACGCACCTCGCCCATGCAGATACCAGGTCGCCAACGGTGGTGGGCTCGCTTACCCGGGATGCCCTTGTTCTTCATCATGCGCCACACGGCCACCATGTCTCCGGGCAGGTACTTGGCCACGATTCTGGGCCGCGAGTCCAAAGCCCGTCGAGCCGTCAGCTTGTCCTGCTGCATGAGAACCTTCATGCGCGTGACCGTCCTGATCCGTGCCTGCTGCGCCGCGATCGGGTCGTTCACAATGGCGCTGTTGGCGATCAGGTCGGGGTTGTCCTTCAAGAGGTCGCCCGGGATCTCCGGGTTGCGGCCGAAGACCATCTGCATCGGGGACACCCCGGTCACCGAGAGGAGACTGTTCTTGGCCATCACCAGCTCCGCGACACACTCGCGCCACTCCGTCTCCGTCTGGGGCTGCGCCTCGCGGATGACGTCCTCCAGCATAATCTCGAAGAACTGGTTGTGGTGCTCGATCTTGCCGTTCTGCTCCTTCGCTCCACCTGCTGTGTCCACCACCTCGATCTCCTGCCGCTCGCACCAGTTGAGGAACTCGTCGCTGATCTGCGCCCGGTGTGGGTCCACCTTCAGCCACTTCGGACGGATGTAGGGGCGGATCCACGCCCGCTCGAACGCATCCATGAGGTTCTTCGACGTCTCCGCCATGCCGATCATTGGCTCCACCTGGTGCAGGGAGCTCGTCTCGTCGATGATGCCCAGACAGGTGATCCGCTCGCCCGGGATCCAGCTCGGCAAGTTCTTGCAGTCCATGCTCACGTACTTCAAAGGGAGATGGGTCTCCGCTGGTGTACTGTGTCGAGCGACCTTGGGGCACTTCATGCCCTCGCATTCTGGACAATGAAAATCATTGGCCGCCTTGATCGCCTGCTCCGTGGCGCGTGCGTGTCGTAGATGTCTTATCAGCACGTTGTTCTTGCAGTGGCCGAGTTGCACATGCAACTTCCTGAGGCTGCTCTCTATCGAGCTGTGAGGCCGACGTAGTACATCGCGTGTTTCATCTGCGTCCTCTTCTTCTCCCTGCACTGCCTTGCACGCGGCCTCCGAGCTGAGCGCCTCCACCTGACACTGTCGTCGCATGCCCCGCACGATCGCCTCTACCAACCTCTTGGGGTACCGTTGGCTGAACACCGTGCGCTTGATCCCACACTTCAGCATGCCTTCAGTGTGTTGATGCTCGTGTCCTCCTCCACACCGCTGGTGAACTGCTTTCGCGACCTCCGGCGCAGACGTCACGAACTCCCAGCTCTTGGGCATCAACTTCAGGGTGTCTGGGCACCTCAGTCCGAACTCGCAGCCGCTCGCTATGCCCACGTACACGCCTCGGGTCTGCAGGAGCTGCTTCATCACCAGCACCTGGCGGCTCGCGCACCTCGGGGGGGTCTCATAGACAAAATGCCTGCCCCGCTCCATCTGGTAGATCGCGACCTCCACGACCACATGTACCAAGTTCACCGACCACTTCACATCTCTGAAATGCTGTGCCAGATCCTTCCGGCGATCCAAAGGCATGCACTGCTGCATGATCGACAGCTTCCGGCATGGAGGGCACATGTGCACGAAGTACGGCTCGTCCTCGATGATGTGCCGCCACATGGCGTCGTAGTCGTCGTCCTTGTCCACATCCCAGCCGTGCACCTTGTCGAGACTCTGACCTTCCAAGAACCCGCACCGCGCCGCTACTGGCACGATGCGAGGTGGGGAGAACAGCTCGGTCACCATTCTCCTGGCCTGTGGGCTCCGACCCGGCCCTACTGAAAAATCCGTGCGGGTGGGCTCCCCACGTCCCGCACGCGCACTGATGACGTGTGCGCCTGCCTCTTCACCTTCTTTTCCCGGTTCAGGAAATCGATCTCGTAGTGGCCTGCCACCGTCTCGCTCATGGGAATCGTGAGGCCAAGGCGCTTCAGGTACAACGAGTCCGTCTCCAGGTCCAGGGCCGCGCCCAGAGCCTTCATGTCTGGCTTGCTCATCAGGAAGCCTGCAGAGCCCGGGACCACGTACACCACGAACGTCACGATGAAGTTCTTGATCTCCCAGTCCAGCTCCACAGCACCGACCGACTCCTGCACACTATTGTCGAACCCGCGAAACCGCATCGGCTTGGCGTCCTTCAACCACCTCGCCTGCTTGCCTGTCGCCGCCTCGTGCTTGGTCAACGTCTCCTCGCCGATCAGGGACTTGCAGCACCCCGTGTCTGGCACAGAACAGCCGTCGGCGTGGGTCACTCCCAGGACCGCCCCCTCCTCGGCGGCCCTCTTCTCGACCGACGCGTACTCGTCCTCCTGCTGCTCCTTCATCTCGTGCGCCAGCCGCTTCCAGCGCTCCTGCCGGATGAGCCTCGCCAGCACATTGTCCTCGTGGACCTTCAGGATGCTATTGATCTCGTCGTCTAAGTCCCCGCCGGTGATCTCGTCGTCCTGAGCAGCTCCCAGTACTGCCTGGACTCGTGCTTCTTCCTGGTCCTCCTCGTCCATCGGCTCGACGACCACCATCTGCGAGCTGTGGGCCGGGAGGGGCCCCTTGCAGTCCCTGCTGAAATGGCCGATCTTCTTGCACCGGAAGCACTTCACCCTACGGCCGAGCTTGTCGAGGTCGTGCCGGGTCGGTCCACCATGACCCCCTTGTCCTGGTCGGGCTTTCCACTGAGGCCTGAGCCCGCGGTCCAACTTCTCCTTGGTCATAGCCGTGCGTGTCTGCTTCCACGTCGCCAGGATCTCCACCGCGTCCGCCTCGTCGATCGGCTCCGCCGCCTGGACGATCGCGTCGATCTCGTCTGTGATGTCGTCCTCCACGCTCTCCTCCTGGTAGGGCTCCGGCGGCGGGCCGACCTCGGGGTCCCCGTGCTCCTCTTCCACCGCGAACGCCATCTGCGTGAGCCTCTCTGGTGGAACTCCTGGGAACGCCGTCCTGATCGCCGTGCACACCTCCTCCACGTTCCAGCTCCGATGGGTCGCCGACATCACCGTCGCACGACCAAAGTGTCCCAGCCGGGCACCGCGTAGAATCAGGTAGCCTCTGGCGACCGACGGCAGGTCCACGCCTTCCTTGGCCAGCCGCGCGTACACAAGCTGCGCGCGCCCGGTGTAGGCCTCCGTCGTCTCCTGCTTGTGGATGCGCAGGCTGAAGCCTTCCTCCATCGCCTCTCCGAGACGATCCGCTGCCACCTTCTCAGGAAACCGCTCGTCTAATCTGTCGAACACCACCTCCTCACCGTTGTCCACGTTGATGTCCACTAAGTCCACGTTCTCCACTGCCAGGGCCGCCTGTCCATCCAGGAGCGTGTACAACCACGGGCCCAGAGCCTCTGCTGGAGTGCCCCGAGCCTTCTGGACCACAATCGCCGCCCTCGCCCAACGCTTCCACACCTTGTATGCAGCAGCTCCGTCGTTGCCGTCCCCGCTGAACCGCTTCACGCTGGCTGCACCTCCTCCCTGGTCTGCCATCGTCACCGTGTGACGGGCTCCTGCCCAGTCACGTGCTCCTCACTTCTCGCTGCTACTGGCTCAAGCCACTGCGAATCCGTCCTGTGGGTCGCGAGAGGAGTCGAGCTCGAGAGGATCAGAGGATGATGCTCTTCTTGCCTCCTGCTGATAGCGGTTGAGGGCGCCCGGGCGTCCGCGCGGAGGGGGGCCTATCGAACCAGAACAGTGGCTACGGCAACAGACGGGTCCGCAAGGGCTCAGGCTTCGGAGGGGTCTCTAGAGGGGCCCTCAGGGGTCCGTGTTCGCAGATGAGGAGGAGAAGGAGGAGAAGGAAGGAGGATAATGAGGGGGGAGGAGGAGGAGGAGGAGGAGGAGGAGAGGAGGAGGAGGAGGAGGAGAGGAGGAGGAGGAGGAGTGGAGGAGGAGGAGGAGGAGGCGGGGAGGCGGAGGAGTACGAGGAGACGAGCGTTACAGTGGGGGTGGGGAGGTAGGAGGAGAGGGGAGAGGAGGAGGAAGGAGGAGGAGGAGGAGGAGGAGGAGGAGGAGGAACAGGAGAGGAGGAGGAGGAGGAGGAGGAGGGCGATTGCCACATTTTGAACCAGGTCCCGGCCTTCATCCGTGTAGCTGTTGCAAGCTGGTGAGATGAGTGCGCGCGGCGCCAAAGGGAGAACCGCATTTTGAAAATTACCCCCCCCCGTCCATCCGTTGAACTGCGGAGTGTCCAGAAAACTTCGGGGCAGTCATCTGTCAGGACGTCTCCAGCGAAACGCCTGGCCTGGCCCATGGACATGTCTGGTGGTGCGACGAGAAGGCTATCTACCAGTGAACGGGATGGAGGAGCGGAGAGGAGACCCTGGCAGCATTTCGAGCGACGACGGCAGCGATCGCGGGCGTACTCTACAGTGGGGTTCCTGCCAGTCCCCGTGGCTGTTGCCGGTGCCGTGCCAGGCGAAAACGCTGGGCGCCTGCGGGAACCCTGGATGGCCCACAGGGGCCTGGGCCCCTCGTCGGCCCCCAGGCCGCTCTCAAACCTCCCGAGTGCGCCTCCAAGGGTGGGGCGCTGAACACTGGGCCTGCGCGCCCCTCAGGAGGAGGAGGAGGAGGAGGTGGAGACCGAGGGGGGCACACAGCGCCGCACGGGCACTGCCCGTTTGCTCCCTCTTGGTGAGGCGCCCGCGCGCTGCGGTAGCAGGCCGCGAGATGGGCGGTCGCGGGTGCCGTTCGCGCGTCCGTCGGCGGCCTTGGGCCTGGCAGTGCGGCGCAGTCAAAACTGTTAGCAAGCGTGCGCGGTGAGGATGCAAGCCCCTGGCACGCCCATGTGGAAGCTTTTCGAGAGGGGTTGGCCATCGAAAGCGGTGGAGGATGGACCGAAGGCGACCGACGAAACATGGATGCAAGGGTTACCCTTGGGAAGTGGGTCGTCCTTACTATTGGTTTCGACTGTACACTGTAGGGTCGCGCCCGCCCGTCTCTTTTAATAAGGCGCCAGTGCGCTGCTGGATGGGCCGCGAGCGAGTGGTCGCGGGCGCCGTCCGCGCAGCCATCAGCGGCCTTGGGCCTAGCAGCGCGGCGCGGTCGAAACATGACCAGAATAGCGCGGATCAAGAACTCAGGGCCCCATGGAGGTGCCCGGACTGACAACACATCCCGAGGTGGGGAGCCCGAGTCAGAGCACGGAGAGATCACGTTCCGTGGGCGCTCGCTTGGGACATCTCCAGCGACAAATCGGAACGTGGGGTGAAGGGGAAAAACATTCGGCGCGCCTGGAATACCGGGAAGAGGGAGAGGGGGAGGTGGAGGGGGAATGGATAGGGAGGAGGAGGAGGACAAGGAGGAAGAAGAGGAGGAGAAGGGGGAGGAGGAGGAGGAGGAGGAGGAGGAGGAGGAGGAGGAGGAGGCGGTGATGGAGGCAGAGGAGGGAGAGGAGGAGGAGGAGGAGGAGGAGGAGGAGGAGCAAAGAAGGAGGAGGGAGGAGGAAAGGAGGACGAGGAGGAGGGGAAGGAGGAGGAGGAGGAGGAGGAGGACATCCGCATAAGGGGTGTCCACCGTCAAGCACCTACGCTGGTGCCTTGCGCGCATCTGGCAAAATCCCCTGCGATTGGTTGTGCAACGGCCCGGACTTCTCACTAGGGCAGGCAGGGGGTACGCCCCGTTGCTCAAGGAGTGAGCTCCGAGGTGGCCCCGTAAGAGAGGCTCGCTACCTTGCGATCACGAGTCCCTGTGGGTCAATGCGCGGGGTGCAGCTGCTGGCCCTTCCGCGTGCCCAAGGGATGGGGGCGCGCGGGCATAGCAGGGCGCCCAAGCTAGGTGGGAGGAGAAGACGACACGACAACTCAAAAGGAGGAGGGGGAGAGGGCCGGGAGGCCCGTGCTTCCCAAACTTTGCTGGGGGTCCTAACTACCCTACTGATTTTGTTATATCATATTATCTCCTCTCTCGCTCGGCTCACTTCCCTTCCACATCCGACTGGCCGATAGTTGCCCCATGCATTGTCGCATCTGTCCTCTGATACCCTGTTGAAGTATCCCACTGTTCTCCCTCGGAATGTATGTGGGGTAGAGAATAGTGGTAGTCACGGTATGTAGGTGGGGCCATCGAGGATGCGCTCTGTTGGCCTTCGTGACGATCCTTTTTTCCAATTCATCACCCTGCAGTAATGTACCAGCCGGCACTCCAAAAAATACTCCCCGTGGCGATGTCAGTGCGAGCGCTCTGTGTTTGCCCGTCCTGGTTGCCTAGAGTAGCGCTCCAAAATAACCTCGCTAATGCATCTCTTGGCTTTGCCAGTGGGCTCGTCCGGCTTACCCAGAGTAGCACTCCGAGGAAACCTCCCCAATGCATCTCTTGTCTTTCCTGTGGGCCCCAGTGGGTGCTCTCGCCGGCGGCCGCTGGAGGAGCTGGCCGTCGTCGTCTCCTCCGACTTGGGGTAGGTGAACTTCCCCTCGAAGGTCTCGGTGAATCCAGCAGTGTCTGCGTGCTGTCTCGTAGCTACTGTCGCTCTTCGAGCCTTCCCACTTCCTCTGGGCCGAGACGATCCTCGTCACTCAGCTCCGCCACGGCGACCTTCATGACTTCGTGGAGGTCCTGTTCGTCATTCTTCGAAATCTTCAGCGCCAGCTCGCGCCAGCTCTGCACAGTGAAAGTCTGCTCCCCAACCCTTTCCCACGCGTCCACAGGATACCTTGCCATGAGATCTCAGCCTTCAACCTTGTGCGTCACCAGGAAGGCAGCGGGATCAGCTCGAGAAGCTCCTCTGGGCTCATTTTCTGGGCGGCGTCGCAGAACTTGTAGTGGCACTCCTGGATGGCGTCGCCTAGCTGCTGCGGCAGCCTATCCGCTGCGAGCACTGACCAGCCATTTCCCACCTTGGGCTGCCCCGCAATGGGCGGCCCGCTCTTGCACGGGAGGAACTTCGACTTGCGCCCGATGTCTGACCACCCCCCCAATCATCGCCGAACTCGCCCTTCATCTTGCCCACCCGCTCTATCATGAGCTCATCCCCTGGGTGGCTCTCCTGCGCCTTAACGAGCTGCGACCAGTCGACATTGCGCCGGAACTGCCGCTCGTCCCCTCTCGAGCGGCCGCTGAGGTTTTTCCACCGCAACTTGTTTGGGGGGGCAGGCCCACGTGACCAGGCGGCGCCCTGCTTGGCGTCCCATACCGCGTTCCTTCTGCATGCGCTGAACAGCTGCACGTTGCCGCTCCACTTGACCACGAAGTCCAGCGCCTCGAAGTACGCCGACCGTCCTTTCTCCCATGTTCTTCGCCGTCTTGTAGTTGCCCATATCGTGCAGATCTTCCCCTTTTTCCCCCAGCTGTTTTTTTCGCTGCCATCAGTGCGTCGTCGTCACTGATGTCCACGGCCATGTACTTGTTGAGCAGGATGTCGCTTGCCTCGGCGCATCGTTAAGCCTCTGCCATGCTTTCTCCTGCTGCACTAAAGGCTACAAAGATGCCCTCATTTATTTCCATGCCCTCCAGCAGTGCCTCTGCCATCTCCTTTGGCTTCTCTAGGGCCGACTTGTTTCTAGCATTGCGAAACTTTTTTCTGAGACTCGCGTATCACCTTGTGCGCTGGTCCCAGTTCCCTCCACTGACCATGACCCGTCTCTGCGTTGTGCGCATGCTGTACAGTATGCAAAATACCCCGCCCACCATCTCTCTGTATCTGTGATGGTTTAGAAAGAAGAAGATAAGTATATCGGCATGGTAGATTATGCCTGTTACTGACAGGGACGGGTGGACTGGTTGTTGCCAGGGAGGCCTTTCCCCTGGGCATTCATCTGCAACTCCGCTTCCCGTTCTGCTCGAACATTTAAGGTCATTTTGTGTATCGTACCATCTGGGGCAAAACGTCAAAGTTTCGTGGGGCGATCGACGCCCATGCTGATTGACTCCGCTACTCTTTCATCATCTGAAAGATGTCTCTTCCTCGCCGCCTGAGCGCAATTGGGCACTCCAGTTTTGCCCGACTGCTCATGGGGAGCATCCCGAGGGCGGCCCCCTTCAGCGCTTGTTCGCGACAGCCGCGGCCTGGCACTCTGCCCTGGGGTCTTTGCACCCTGAGATAACCTCACCAATTCAACTACCGCACGGGCGCCGCCGACTGGGACTTCCTGCGTCCCACGTAGACGACCAGCGCCCCCACTGCCATCCGCAGGTTGTGGCCCGCGAACCGGACCAGCTTCGTCATGGTTTCTTATTTATGTCCTTCCGGAACGCTGCCCTGAAATTGAGGGGCACGTTGATGCCGACCAGGATCTTGCCTGGACCCTCCTCCCAGAACTCCTGCTCGTCCTCGTTCTGGTTCCTGTTCTTGTTGTTGCGCGCCTTGTAGCCCTCGCCCACTTGGCACATCTCCAGTGTCTCTGTGACCATGGCCTGGCTGTGCTCGCTGTTGTCTCCCACCAGCTTCAGGAAGTCGTTCAGAGTGCCCAGTGCCCGATCCATCGACGCCGCCACTGCTGTTGTATCTGGTTTCTGCAAATCCGACGCCATCTCCTGGACGCCCTCCCTGGGCG